TAAAGTACATAATTGATCTTTGAAAATTAAAACATAATACATCATAGCAAGCCTGTTATATTTTTATTAGCATTTATTGTTTTATGTCAATTACCCTTGAAAGACTTACTCTTTAAAATGCAGATTTTAAAATAAATTAGACTATAAGTACACTTCATTCAAAATATCCTATAATATAAAATACAGATTTATACAGAAGCTTCCCAGTGAGCACAAATAATTAAAAATCCTGAAGCCAATAAAAATACTTTCCATTCTCTGAAAACCTTAAGGAAAGTACACTAAATAACACTGCCTTCATATTCTATATATACTTAAATTAAAGACTTTAGACTTTACCTTGAAATGTTTAAATGTGCGCTTACGATACTCATACCACTTCACAAAAAAATGCAGGCCTCGGAAAAACATGAATAAATCTCTTCTTTCTTCTGCTCTGTAGGAATAAGATTCTATGATTAATAAATATCATTACAGAACAAATTGGGCTTTCTTTTCATATGTTCTACATTAACATTTAGAAAATACTTAATACACTTCTCCATGCTGAACTCCACACTTCTGTGTGTGTTCATCCTGTGTAAAAGCTATGCTCATTGCTCAAAGTAATATATATTACTTTGCAACAGTCAGGATTCGACATTACAAAGTAGTAACTATGTTAGCTTGAAACGTCCTTTTCAAATGTTTAAACCTGTTTGCAACTTTCAAATAATTCAAGTGCCACAGTCACCATAAAATCTTTTTCTTTTCTTCCATTCCCCACCCCCACACTGGGGATTGAACTTGGGACCTTGATAAAATCTTATTTAATGAGTAAAGTTTAACAGTGAATGTGTATGGGACACTTCCTAGCACAGAGCTTCAATTCTGTGAAAGTTTTCCAGTGATAGAAGCGACTGTTATGCTAATGAAGTGACTCAAGTGGACCTTAGGTAGCAAGACACTGGGTTTGCTTAGTGGAGAAGCCAATCACATCAGCAGGTGTTGGAACTCTGGGCTAGCAGACATCAGATGGAGAGCATGCTGGATACTAAGTTCAAATGCACAGCCTGTGATTTAATCAGTCATCCCCACGTAATAAGACCTCACTAAAAGCTCTCGAAATTAGTGCTCAGTGGAGTTTCCTGGTTGATGAACATGTTGATTTGTTGAGAGGATAATGTGTTTCACAAGAAAGCTGTGCATAACTCACTACCACTAAAGCCCCCAGACGTTAACCTATGTGTTGCTTCCTTTTGGCTTTTCTGAGTTTTATCTTTTATAATAAAGTGGCAATTATTAAGTAGAGTGCCTTCAGTACGTTCTCTACATAGTTCCAGCAATCACTGAACTTGAAAGGCTTACACGAATTCTTTAAAGCCTATAAGATGATAGTGGACTCTTGCAGCTGGGGTCTGAAGGGAAGCAGTGAGGGTGATGGGGTTGTCTATATCCAGGGTTACAAATGCTTTTGTGATTTCTTCCAAGCAAACACATGGAAGGGAAGTTTATTGTTAGAGCATCTATCTCACAATTTTTTTTTGGTACCGGAGATTGAACTCAGGACCTTGTGCTTGCCAAGCAGGTGCTTAAGGTACTATGCTATCTTCCCAGCATGCAGGGTTTGTTGGAGTCAGAACTAAACTGAAGGACACCTGTGTCCCCAATAGCTATAAATAACTTCACTCCCTTGGCTAAATTCGCATAGGCCTATTTATCTTAATTCATTTAATATTATATTTATTGTAACACTCAACCACATAAGCTATGCCAACTTGAAATCAAGTTCCATGAATTAATCTAATCATTCACTTATGGTTATAAAGGTTCAGTCCCTGTTCTGGCCACTATGGAGTAAACACATTCAACCCAAGCGCTCCCCTTAATTACAATTTAAAGCACTGGGCATAAATCAGAAAATCTGAAATGCCAAGAGGAGAAAGGCATGCTTGCTTTGGCAGCACATATACTAAAAAAGAGAAGAAAGGAGAAGAGGTAGTCCACAGGAAGCAAAGGAAAACTTGGTAATGAATTCCTTGGAGTCTACTATAATTGTATAATAAACAATCAGGACACCAGCAATTGACAAGCTAAGACTACCACAATGTGTAGCTAAAACCAACCAAACAAAAAAGGCCAGGGGTTGACTGCTCCCCTTAGCCAGAAGAGGTCAAACAAGGGGAGAAGGGGGTTGCTGCAGAACAGAACCTTATTAATAAGTAAGGCTATACCCCTTTCACTGCCAATCAGGCGCTAAGGCCACTGAGTAGAATGTCAAGCTTGTCACCACCAGAAAAAATGGTGTCATCTCCTCACAATTAGATGCTATACTGGGAAGACTAAAACGAGCTGTTTCAGCCAACCCCACGTGTGACACCAATCAAGAAGCCAAGGAAAGGTGTTGTTCCCACTCCCTCTAATATAGCTGTTCCACACAGGGAGATGCTCTGTCACTCTTCTACCCCTTACATGAAGTAGGGAGAAAGGGGTGTTAATGAAGTCCTCAGATGAGCATCATATGCTCATATACAAAACTAAGCAAGATCTACAAAGTAAAATACTGAGACTTGAAATATGGTCTAGAATGCCACGCAGAATTCAGATTAAAAGTAGTATGTAAGTGCAGCAAACAAAAATAAGACCTTTTAATTCAGACTATGTATGTGGTCCAGGAGTGCTTCTATTTTATTTTATTGTATTTTAGGGAAGGGTCTACAGGGTGTTCAGGGTCTCACTACTAGATTGGACTCAGTGATCCTCTGCCTGTTACAGCCTACCAAGAACTGGGATTATAGGCGCGTGCCACCACACTCAGTCTCAATTGCTGTCTCAGTGCACCCCGGGGGCAGGGCCGGCACAGCAGGCCAGGGGATCCAACTGTCAGCCCCTGTGCCTACTTGCACACACTTTAATCACCTAAGCTATTTGGCCAGCTCTCAGAAGTGCTTTTAAATAAAATGTACTGATAAGGACAACTGCAAAAAATGAAAAGGATACTTGCAGCCAGCCTGCTCAGAAACACCAAAAATAAAACAAAGCTGTCAGTCACATTTATTGGAAATTAGGAAGAGAGCAGAAATTTACAGCAACCACATGAACACTTAATAAGAAAAAAGGCAAGCAAAACAGAGTAGGACTGCTTTGTAGTGTTTTAACTTGCCCTTTCCATAGCCCCCACCCAGCCACAGTATAGCCTTAAAGACGGTATGCTCTTTTTTGTAAGAATGTAGCTCTGAAGGCTGTACACACCTGTAAGCTCAATATTGGAAGACCACTGTGAGTTGAGGCCAGACTGGACTACAAAATGAGTTTAAGGCCAGCCTGAAAATAGCAAAACTCTATCTCAAAAACACAAAGGGAAAAAAAAAAGAAAAGGAGAGGAGAGGAGAGGAGAAGAGAGGAGAAGAGAGGAGAAGAGAGGAGAAGAGAGGAGAAGAGAGGAGAAGAGAGGAGAAGAGAGAAGAGAGGAGGATAGAAAAAAGGCCCAAGGACATTAGCAGAAACCTCATTCCCAAATAAATTAGAGTTATTTCTTTTGACTTGTCTGTGGGTACACTGCAGATTAACTCAAAGGGCCCATGTTTCACCTACCTCAGAACTTTTCTGCAGTTTAGATACACAAATTTCTCAAAAATACTAAAAGGTAAATGAGCAATTATTTCTCAAGAAAAAGTACTAGTGAACACAACAACAAACATGCTGAAAACCAAGGAAAAAAGGAGGAGGGTGTATCTTTGAGAAGGAAGACTTTGTCTAGGGAAGGATGTGTGCTCAGAACAGAACATAAGCTTTCACTTCTGTGGATCTTTAGGCAAGGACAAGATGAGGCAGAGCTGTGAGAAATACAGCTAAACAATGAAGCAGTATTCCAGTGCACAGCTAAATGCAAAGACCTAGAGATCAATCATGTATACATACCTACATACGTATATATAAATTGGTACCTCAGTTCACAAACATCTTGTTTGCAAAACAATCTGTTTCACAAAGTCATCTGGAAAAATTTTGTTTTTGTTTGCAAACTCTGTACTGGATGATAAACATGGTCACAGCCATCTTTCCCACATAAATAAACAAAATTGTAGATCAAATTAGGTTCATGAACCAAGGTACCACTATACTGTATATACATATGTGTATGCATATGTATACATCTATATATAACATATTTTTTGTACATTATAATATCCAAAATGCCCAGTACTCAGCAAGAAAAAAATTAAGTATACAAAGAACCAAGAAAGCATAAACCATTCACAGGAAAAAAGAAATTTATAAAAGCTTCTGTTGAAGAAACACAAAGTAGAACTACTAGGCAAAGATGTTACATTTATACTGAAAGAACTCATAGAAACAAGAGAATTATGTGTTCAATAAACAGGGAATAACAATATAGAAAGAGAAATAAGAAATAAAAAAATTTAAACCTGAAATATACAAAAGCAAAAATGAAAAACTCACTAAAGGGCTTCAATAGCAGATCTGTACAGGCATAATACTCTGCACAGTGACTATAAAGCAAGTGAAATAGGCTGACTACATACAGAGCAAGTAAATTATTGAGTTCAAAAGAAAAAAAAAATGAAAAGTAAGCAGAGCCTAAGAGACCTTGGCACAACAAAAGAGCGCAAACATACATGCAATGAGTTGCACACAAGGAGTTGGGAAAGAAAGGAACAGAAAGTAACCTCAAGAAACAGTAGCCAAATACTTCCAGATGGCAGAGTTAGTATGCACATTCAGGAAGTTCATAAGCTGCAAGGGAGAAAAACTCCAGAGATCAACACCTAGATATTAAAGCTGTTAGAGAAGTGAATTGTCACACAAGGTATCACCTGCAAGATTAACACCTCATTTACTATCACAAACCAGGGAGCAACAGTAACATTTAAAGAGCTGCAAGAAAAGGGGTTTCACCCCAAAACTTCTATACCAACAAATGTATCAAGAATGAAGAACAAGAGGTCGGGGAAATGGCTCCGTGAAATAAGCGCTTCCCTGGCAAGCACAAGAGCCTGAGTTAAATCCCCAGTTCCATCAAAAGAAAAAAAAAAAAGAAGAACAAGAGCAAGCCAAATAGCTCAGCAGATTAAAGCGCCTGCAAGCAGGCACAGAGGCCAGGAGTTCAATCCCCGTGCCTGCCCCACCCCCAGGGGCGAGGTGAGACAGCAACTGAGACTGGGCGTGGTGGTGTGCACCTGTAATCCCAGCTCTTGGGAGGCTGTAAACAGGCAGAGCACTAGGAGTCTGATCTAACAAAGACCCTGAACACCCTTTAAATCCTTCCCTAAAATACAAAAATAAATAAATAAATGAAGAACATCTTTTCATATATTTATTTGCTGCTTCTATTTTTTATTTTTTTTTCGGTATCGGGGATTGAACTCAGGACCCTGCGCTTGCCAGGCAAGCACTTATTCTACTGAGCTATCTCCCTGGCCCACTGCTTCTATT